GCGCCAAAAATGTATTCCCTACCTTCTTCTCACACTAGGCACATGAAATCTCGAGGTCGAGATTTTGTTTTAGGGGGGTAGATTGGTAACACTCTCGGTGTTACATTGTACAGTTTTACTAAAACACTGCATGATCATCATACTTGTTTGTACATGTGAGTAATATAGAGTAAGAATCAATGTACGGCACTTGAAACGTTCATATGAAACAAGAGAAACAAATGTTACATTTCATGTCTCTTTGTATCGTTTAGGGTTCTAAGTAAATTTTTATCGAACGGGAATGCTACGGAACGTATCGTTGGAACATAGTAAGCTGGTAGCCCGAACTTTGTAGGCAATGATGAAATATGAGTGGTCGAGAACAAGGTTCACTAGTTAGTATATCAAATAGCTCGGAAATGAAATTCAATGCAAAACCGTTAGAGGTTTAGTCGTTTCGCGTAAATCTATAAATGGGTCGACGAAGCCATGTTCGGCGATTTTTGGAGAGCGATCGGGTTAAGAGGTGGCATGATGTTTTGGCCTAATTCGAAAGCCCTAGGTACCCTCTTGAGGGTAGGATAATTGGTTTGACCTTTGAATCATCGGGTTTGAGTTTTTGAACGGCTTTAAAATGGGTGCATGTCACCTAGTTTGAACAGAGCCAGCGCTGGCCGCGGTCACCACCTCTGCTTGGCCTAGCACCGCTACTAGCCCGCCTAGCGCGCGCTGCCACGCTGGCCACATCCTCACTGCCGCCATGTGAAAGCACGCCCGCGCGCATGGCCCTTGTGGCTGGCCACGGCCGCTTGCCACCACGTGTTGGCGCGCAGCTCGCACCGCCGCTGCTGGCGTGCCGCATTCGGGACACCGCCCGTGCCCTGCCCATGCACTAGCCAGACGTGCCGCTGGGTCCCGTGCTATAGCTCGGTCGGTTCTGGCTACCTAGTACACCACGCACGCACGCACACTGCGCCGGTGGCCCTGGCAGCGCTGCCTCACTGTCGCGTCGCACGGTACCCTGCTCGCGCTGTGCGCCATCATCGCCACGCTCGGCACTGCTTCCGTTGACCCGCCATGGCTGTGCGCGCATGGGACAGCTGCCTACTTCGCTAGCGCGTCAGGGTCCACTTCAAGCCTCTGCGGCGACAGCACCGTACCTTCGTGCCTACCTTCCCCTGTTCTGTTGTCGCCGGGGCACGCCGTGTCCGCCAAAGAGGTGAGATTGCGTATGCCTTGGGACAGAGTGAGTACTTAGCCACATGCCAAAAGCGTCCACTGCTGTTGCCGGTCGTTGCCACGCCTAATTTGGACGGTTCCATCGGCGTCGATCATTTTAAGACCCGCAGTCGCGCTGTGAAATTCCCCTTACCCTCGTCCACCACTATCTAATTCCTTGGTACTGAACCTTCGCCCTGCTCCACTCTACCACGTGCACGCCCTAGTTTGCCCTACTATGGCCTGCCCAGCGCTGCCACCGCAGTCTTGCCATAGCCGCCATCGCAAGGTCTGTCGGGTGCGCGTGGCCAGGTCCTCTCGTGCAGTCTCCGATCAAGCCATCGTGACCGGTAAGCATGGGGTGAGTCTCTATTGCCTATCCGTGAGTTGGTTCACGCTGTCGAGGTTGTGGCTCACGGGAACACGTCCGCCGTCGTAGGGAAAGGGCCATCGCCAGGGAGGAAGCTCGGGACAGCGTCCCCGTTCACCGTATCGCCTCCAACCGCTGCGCGTTGAAGTCAAGGTGATCATTGACCCCTTAGATTGGAACTAGAGGGTCGGGTGGGGCCGGCGTAGCCGCCCGGTGGCCGTGCCATCGCGCCGGTGTGCGCACGGGTGCCAGGGGACGTCGCCGCGGCGAAGAAGGGAAAGAGGAGGGTGGTAGATGAAAAATCTGTGACTCAGTGTAATAGTGCTCGGGATAGTGTCGCAAATAGAAATGAGAATGAGGGCTCTTTCGCAAAAGAGCCAACCGCGCGCGGGTCCTCCCCACCATGGGCCGTCGTCCGGCTACGCCGCGCACCCCCGCGAGGGCCGCACCGTGCTCGCGCGCGTGTTGCGCCTGGTTGGGCCGAGCCGCGCGAGTTGGGCCGCTGGATAGGAATCAGTTTTCAATTTCCAGTAAACTCGTGAATGTTTATTCAATAATAGTTTGAGCTAAACTTTAATAAATTGTAGTAAATCGTGTAGATGCCCGAAAATAGTGAGAGCAATTTTGTTAGGTTCACAAAAATACCATCTACTTGTTAGTACAGTTAGAAGATAGTTAGCTGCGATGATGATAGGGTCATAAATTCAAAACTAGAGAGCTTAGTATTATGTAGCTTAACAATTGTACAAATTTTTGTGGAAATTTGGTGATAGATATAGCTATGGAAATTTTACAGTAGGCTCACTATATTATTTTGTACTTGCTGTAAATTCGGTAGCCCTAGAGTACGTTAATAGAGTAGCTATTATCATTGCTTTATCGTATGTAGTGTAAATCAGCATTAGTAGTAAGAACAATTGTAGTTGCTATAATAATGAATGCCGTACTTCATACTTGTTAATAGTAGCAATAGATAACTTAGTAACATGGTCGATAGCACTAGCTTAGTAGTTGGACTGATGTACTTTTATTTTAAGAGTTGCTGTTGCTATGTTACTAAGTATTGCATCATCATTTCATGCATGTAGATCACTAGTTAGTAGAGTTCATGCCCGTCGACGACTAGGAGTACGAGGAGGTGATCGAGGAGTATGAGGAGGAGATCCTTGTACAGGAGGGAGCCTCGGAGCCTGTTGGTGCTGACCTTACTGACCCGTCGCCTGCCCAAGGCAAGCCCCGGTGCATAACCCCTATTTTTAATGATCACTAAATATATATGATGTGCATTTACGTTACAAAAATTTTAGGAAAGCTACATGCATAAATATATCTACCTATGAGTTCTACTAGTATAAGTCGAGTAGCTGCTATGCTCAGGATATCTGTAGCGTGAGTAACCTTCCATTACTCGCAAATAGGTGATAAATATGATCACTCATGGTAAATGATGGAAAGGTAAATGGTGACCGGATAGGGATATGGTTTGGTTACTGGTGGGTGTAAAGGGTTGTATCCTGTGGCCAACAGGGCATAGCTCGGTTACACTTTTTCCCTGTCTGTGTCGATTAAGGACCGATCGTTGCATAAGTCGCGAGGCAAGTCACATATCTATTATCCCGAGCGCATACTTGTGTATGGGCGCAGGGAAGACTCGTTGCTCTCTTGTCGTGGATCCGACTCTTTCCGGACCGACTTATTGGAGGCGGGGTGGTGCAGGTCCTTGCACCGCACTAAGTCCAGGACTCAGGAGTGGGGGCTTGGAGTCCAAGTTTGGACGGAGACCTGGACACCTAGGACAGGAGGGTGATGGGTTAGTCCTGCTTGTGTCTGGGGTACAAGCAGGGCGTGTGTTTTCGGGGTACCCAGCTGGGGGCATTGATTCATGAATCGCCGGGTGATCTGGTACGGCTTGTTTTGGGGTCTAGCAGTCTAGCACCGTGTATGGGCGTGGGCCTTGTTCCCTTCGGTACACAATGGCGGCCACACCACAAACGCGGTTGGTGTGATCTCGTAAGACTACAAACCCATCCGATGTACAACAATGGTGCTCGCAAGCACCGGGTGATAAGAGGTATGCAAACCTCACTAAACACTAGGCCTAAACCAAAAGCAAGTGCATAAGTGGTGGTCTAATCAACCTAAGCACTTCGCAAAGCACCTACGCTAATCACATAATGAATCTCTAAGCACTATGCAAGTGGAGATCACTAAAATGGTGTATCAACACCCTTAATATGTTTTCTCAGCTCCACTACTTCCATTTGACCGGTTGGGAGTTGTATTTATAAGCCCCACTGAGAAAGTAGCCGTTAGGGACGAAATCCCGCTTTTCTGTCACTGACCGTACGCTCAGATCGTCCTGATCGGACGCGTCCGATCTTCCCTACCGTTAGAGCCGCGATCAACTGATCGGACGCTGTCAGCGTCCGGTCACATGCCACCGGACGCATCCGGTCACAATTTTGCCGCTCTAGAACCTTTCTATACTCGATCGGACTCTGTTGTGCTGCGTCCGGTTGATTTGCTTGTTCAGTGTCCGATTGCTGCTGCTGCCGAGCCTCTTTATCGGGGCGACCAGTCACTGTGCTACCAGTGTCTGGTCCAGTGTCCGGTCACCTCTGTGAGCTCGTTTCTTCGCGATCTGGCGTCCGGCTTGGTTTCTATCTTTATGCTTGGACTTTGCTTGATATCTTGTGTCTTTTCTTGTGCTTTTAAGGTCTTGCTTATGGTGTTGATCATCGGATCATCACGTTGCCTTCGTTCAAGTCATGTCTTACACCCTATTGAACTACAAAACAATCACTTGCAAATTCATTAGTCCAATTTGGTTGTGTTGGTCATCAAACACCAAAATTCAAAGTAAATGGGACTAGGGTCCATTTTCCTTACACCAGCATTAGACGGTTTTGTAGTTGAGGGTCAAAATTAGACGAACCCAATAGTTGAGGGGCTAAAAGTGGACTTAATCCTTCTGCAAATGGGTCTCTAGGAGAGATGATTCTCAGATTTGGGTTATGCCTCTTCTGGCACCTAAAATAGGTCTTCCGTATAGATACTTTTTGGAGGCTATATGTACTGTGTTAAAGACCCATTTTGGGTTTATGTTCTGGAATGAGTCTCATGTTGGAGACCGCCTTAGCATCAACTCTCTGTTTTTTTTTATCTTTTTTGTTTTTGTTTTGTTTTGAGCAAAGTCCCAAACCCAGCCTACAGAGCCAACTGGGCCTACCACCATCTCCTCGCGGAAAGCGCAAAGGCCCAGCCCATAGAAGCTCAAGAAAAACGCGACGCTTTCACTGCACACCACAATCAATCAGCCGTTTCGTTTCCTCTCTTCCCCTCGACAGAAACCCCCAAATCCGCTCCCTTCCCCTATCCACCTTGACTCCTTCCTTCCATAGCGGCGACGGCGGCGAAGGGCGGCGGAGCCATGGGCGGAGCCGGCGAAGGCGACGCGTGGGCGGATCAGGAGCAGGGCAACGGCGGGGGCAGCCGTGGTGTTGGCGGCGGCGGCGAGGCGAAGCGGTCGGAGATCTACACGTATGAGGCCGCCTGGCACATCTACGCGATGAACTGGAGCGTGCGCCGCGATAAGAAGTACCGGCTTGCCATCGCCAGCCTCCTCGAGCAGGTCACCAACCGCGTCGAGGTCGTCCAGCTCGACGAGGCCTCGGGTGACATCGCCCCCGTCCTCACCTTCGACCACCAGTACCCGCCCACCAAGACCATGTTCATGCCGGACCCGCACGCCCTCCGCCCCGACCTCCTCGCCACCTCCGCCGACCACCTGCGCATCTGGCGCATCCCGTCCCCCGACGACGCCGAGGACGGCGCCGCCTCCGCCAACAACAACAACGGCTCCGTCCGCTGCAACGGCACCCAGCAGCCGGGCATCGAGCTGCGCTGCGAGCTCAACGGCAACCGCAACAGCGACTACTGCGGCCCGCTCACCTCCTTCGACTGGAACGACGCCGACCCGCGCCGCATCGGCACCTCCTCCATCGACACCACCTGCACCATCTGGGACGTCGAGCGCGAGGCTGTTGACACCCAGCTCATCGCCCATGACAAGGAGGTCTACGACATCGCCTGGGGCGGTGCGGGGGTCTTTGCCTCTGTCTCCGCCGACGGCTCTGTCCGCGTCTTTGATCTACGGGACAAGGAGCACTCAACAATCATTTATGAGTCTGGTTCAGGTGGCAGCGGCGGAGGTGGTGGCGGTTCCAACTCGGGCGCCGGGGATGGTGGGGCTGCGTCCCCGACACCACTCGTGAGGTTGGGCTGGAACAAGCAGGACCCAAGGTACATGGCCACCATCATCATGGACAGCCCCAAGGTGGTTGTGCTTGATATCCGCTACCCAACACTGCCAGTGGTAGAGCTACACCGGCACCACGCCCCTGTCAATGCCATAGCGTGGGCGCCTCACTCTTCTTGCCACATCTGCACAGCTGGGGATGACATGCAGGCACTGATATGGGATTTGTCATCTATGGGAACTGGTAGCAATGGCAGTGGCAATGGGAATGGTAACGCAGCCACGGCAGCAGCAGCAGAGGGCGGTCTTGATCCCATTTTGGCATATACAGCAGGGGCAGAGATTGAGCAGTTGCAGTGGTCGGCGACCCAGCCTGACTGGGTTGCAATCGCATTCGCCAATAAGCTTCAGATTCTCAGGGTCTGATTCCCTAATTCCGCCCTGTTTCACCGAGGAGTAAGAAAATGCCAAACTTGGATAATGAGGTTAGGCCATGGGAGGATAATCTTGTGCACTTGCTTTAGTTGCTTATTTATGTTGTGGACAACTGATATTCGTGGTGGGTTATTTCTAGTCATAGAACAGAAGACTTGCTAGTTAGAAGCTGAATTGGCAATGAACTCGTTTTGTAGAGTAATGGGCTGCTCTGGTGTTAGCGATGGTGGTAACGGGAACTGAATTTAGTTTGTTCTTGGTGTTAGAATTCTTTTCGGTAGCATGTAGATTCACATCTTAACTTGCTTGTTGAACTTGCAATGGTCATATGTGCCCTATAGCCGATAATATTCCCTGTGTGTTGTTTTCTCAGTTTTGTGGATTTTTTTGTATATGTGTTTTGTGTGATTGCACAGCTTGGTGTGTTATATCTGGTGATTGAACCATACATTTTCCTTGTTATTTCTGGTTTTCTAGAGCAAGTAGCTATGCCAGATTTTGTCTTGTTAATAGATGGAATGGGAACTGTAGCTAAGTTGTTAATTGTGCTTGAATGTTCCGCTGGGTAGCATTTACATGTATTAAGTTGCTTGTTGGAATCTGCATCCATCTTGTATGTATTAGAAGTTATAAAGCTGTGTTATGTATTGATATGTTATTTCAGTTTCATGAATTCTTTGGCTGCCTTAATTATAATACCTGTAAACCTTTAGCTATAGTTCACACATGTTATATCTCATTCCTTTTTCGTTTAATTTTCATCCTATGGAATATGCCAACACAACATTAGGGCCGTGTCCCCCTCTCCCCCAACAAATTGTATGCTGACCCAGGCCGATATCCTTCTGAATGCTGGTGTGTTTTGATCCTTGCATTCAATATTTAGCTCATAGCTTCTGTTGTGTGAGTATAGCAAAGATTTTGTTGCTGCAACAGAGATTGGATTTTTTTTTTCGTTTCCAAAGAATAATGGCCTAACAAAGTTCCCATGCGTGTAAATACATGTTATGGATTGATTCGAGGTGTTACCTTAGTTTAGCTAAAGTTGCTGCTTTGTGGGTTTCCTTCCTTTGCTGAATTTGTCAGATGAGTGTTTACCGCTGGACTGGATAGGAAGGCATGCGAGGAAGTGGTAAACTTCCCTTGTTGCATGACATTGCTCATGTCTGGAGCTATCTGGTGGATTTTTTTTCTTAGAAATTGTGTTACTCTTTGTTATGAGCTGAAGCATTGCCCCTTCATTGTCTTTAGTTTCTGTTTTACCAACCCCATCGCCATCGGCCATCTCTGCATAGCTGCAATTCTTTATTTGCAGTCTTCGTTCCAAAACTGTATGAAACTTTGTGTAACTGAGCCAATGGTGAAAGGTTTTGCGAGAATCGACTGCTATCCTCTGGTGCGGGTGCCAGATAGGTCTAAAAGCTTAATTTTGTTATTCATCTTGCTTTTAATTGAGGGATTTCCTGAAAACAAAAGATGCATCAAAGATTATTATTTTATGGAGAAACAAAAAAAATGAATAGTGGAGTAGGTCTTTCATGTTTTTTCTATTGTTTTTGTTGTACTTTCAGTTTTCTCTCTCTGCATAATCTGTTTGTATCGTTTCCCAGAGGTCAGTAATGAATAGGGTTGTGTCACCAGAATACCTTTGTGTACCCTCATACTTTGTACATTTGATGGGGAGGATGAGAGAGAGGCTGTTCCTTTTGCTTGGGGTCATCCATTGATCCAATAGCTGTAGACATCCTACTTTTTATTTATAGGGATATAAAAAAAATAGTGGAATCAGAAAGTCTCTCATGTTTTTTTTGTTGTGCTTTTTAGTTTGCAGTATTTGTTTGTATTATTTGCCTGGTTTTTTTTTTATAAAATCGAAACGTGCTGATTCGTGACAAAAGATTGGGATTTTTTCCCCAAAGAATTGTGTGGCATGCATGCTTCACGTTCCAGGTGTTACCTTTGTGTGCTCACCTCACATGACGCAGGGCTCTTTTCAGGATCGCTCTAAAGAGCGCGGATCTTTAGACGTGATACGGAGTTTTATATATTCCATCACTGTTACACCAGTGACTTTCTGTTTTTTTTTTCTCGAGTCGTGTTACTATGAAGCTTATATATTCCATCACTGTTACACCAGTGACTTTCTGGGTTTTTTTTCCCTCGAGTTGTGTTACTTTGAAGCTCCGTACTCGTACCTTCGCTACCTTCGTAGCTTCTGTTTACGGAACCCCATGGTTGCGTGTCAGCAGGGTAAAATTTCCTTATTTCATCGCTGCGCTTCTTTCATGCCTCAATATTTGAATTCAGTAGTTGCAGCAAAACAATAATTGAGGCACGCCACGAGGACTTGTGCTTCAGCAATATTGCGGCACCTACAGGCATTCCTTTGGGCCATCGCGCTTGTGCGAGACTTCTCTTCCAGATCGGTGGGCCTTCAGTTTAGGCCCAAGATGTTATTCCACACAACCACCTGATAGCGTCAAGGTCAGGCATAGTCAAAACTGCACCCACACAGGCGGATCTGCCTGCCCCATCCAATGGCGACACACGGAGCACACCAGGATCTGTTACGGACTCTGGATCCATGGTGCCATCTGCACGAGCGCCAAATCCTAAGGTGCCTCCACGCGTCCTACCACGCGCCTACAGAGCGGTACCCAGAAAGAAAAAAATTTACACAAACCACACTGTTAGGTATGGCTATCTAGCCTGAGATGATGCGACCGAGCCTCGAAATCAAGAAGAAGCTCTGCATTTTAAGAATTGGAAAGCAGTTATGGATGCAAAATATACTCATCACTAATGCAAAATAAAACATGGCATCTGGTTCCACCTATAGAAAAGAAATAAATGTCATAGATTGTAGATGGGTCTTTAAAGTAAAATGAAAAGCTAATGAGAGTCTTGATAGATATAGGGCATGATTTGGTAGCAAAAGATTTTAAGCAAAGATATAAGATATATTATGAGGACATTTTTAGTCCTATTATTAAATCAGTTACTATTGGAACTGTTTTGCCTATGGTTGTGTCTATAGGGTGAAGCCTACATCAGTTGAATGTACAAGGTGCGTTTCTTCATGGCTTCTAAAATATAAGAGGTGTACATGAAGTAGGCCCTTGGTTACGAAGATCAGACTTCTCCCGCATACATCTATATGGTGGCAAAGCATCGTATGGCCTAAAACAAGGCGTGGTACTCTAGGTTAAGTACAAAATTACATGAGCTCGGGTTCCAATCATGCACCGAAGTCAAAATGGCAACGGGTACCCGAAACCCGAGTACCCGACGGGTTTTACCCGATAAGAAGGCGGGTATGGAAGACATTTTGCACCCGCGGATACGTTATTGGACGAATTCTTATACCCATCAGGTATGCGGGTATGGGTGTGGGTGTATACTACCCATACCCGCATACCCGCGGGTAAAAAAAACCGCATAAATAATATCCAACCTCTGCAATTTTAGCCCATATTTGGCCCATATAAGCATATGAGTATATATATTCCAGAACTCCCTCAAACCCTAATCCCCATATAAGCATATTTGGAATGAACCAATGAGGCATCTGATCTATTTCAACTAGCTTGACCTGGATATATTTCTGTTTTGCTGCTCTATTGTTGATTTGTTTTGCTAGAAGCTATTATATTTTGGTGTGTGAACTCGGGTATATTGTTGGGTGCGGGTTACCCGTCGGGTAAGAATTACCCGTCGGGTGCGGGTATGGAATGAATTTTCTACCCGCCTGTGGGTACGGGTAACCCGACGGGTAAGATTTTGATCTGGTGGGTGCGGGTATGGGTGGCCAGTACCCATCGGGTACGTACCCGTTGCCATCTTTACACCGAAGGCAGATATGATGTCCCTACTTTTACAGTAAAGGGGCGGTTCATGTGTTCATTTTTATTGAGTAAAATACACTAGCGGCCCCTAATAAATAACTCGGCAGAGGGTGTCATCTAAGTCATCAAACTCTTAAAATGCACATCCAGGTCCTTAAACTTGGCACATGGTATGTCACAGGTCCAAACGTTGACGTGGTGATCCACGCTAGCATCAGCGATACCAGACTAGCCCCTAAAATTGGCAGAGTGTGTCATCTAGGTCCCTAAACTTTCAAATGAGCATCCGCATATACATAGTTTAAAAAATATAAAAAAATAACATATATAATAAACATTGCAATAACTAAATATATCAAAAATCAATAAAACTATATATACTATTTATCAACAAATAGTTTAAAATATATAAAAATAATTTCATCAATACATGAATAGTTAAATTACATAAAATTAATATGATTAGCCATATTAAAACTAACATTTATATATCATTAATAATAATAATATATTAGTCACAAAGATAAGTTTTAAATAGTTTAAATGATACATATTTCTTGTTATATTAAAGTTGATATTATTTACATTACTAATTAGTCGTATATATAAGTTTTAGATGACTTTACAGGGTACTTTGTTATTTGCGGATATGGATAATGTCGGGTATTTGATAATTTTTGGAATACAAATGTATACAGATACTCCACTTAGTATCCAGATTAAAACTGAATACAAATACGAATATCCATGTTGACACTAAGGCAAATACGGATATAGAAAAATTATAGAAATCGTATACACAGATACTCCACTTAGTATCCATATTAAAATTGAATACAAATACAAATATCCATATTGACACTAAGGCAAATACGGATACCAGACCTGTGACGTAGCATTTCATGTATGCGAATGTGCATTTTGAAAGCTTAGAGATCTAGATGACACACTCTGCCAAATTTAGAGGCTTGGTCTGTCATCGCTGGTGCCAGCGTTGACCACCACGTTAGCAAACGGCCGGGTCTAGTCTGGACCCGTTTGGTCCTATGATGTACCATTTGCCAAGTTCAATAATCTGGTTGTGCATTTTAGGAGTCTGTGAATGTAGATGACACTCTCTTCCTAGTTTAGAGGTCGTTGATGCAT